GGTGTCCACCGCGGGGGGCCGAGGGAGGACCCTGCGCCCTGCAGGCTTGGGCTCTTCAGCCCTGACCGGCCCGTGTGGCCGGCGGGGGGCTGAAGGGCCGGGTGTGGGACGGCAGCCCAGCCTCGCGAGCCCCAAAGGCAGCCGGTGCCGGCCTGGCCTGCGGGGCGGGGTTCCGCCCGTGGCTGGAGGTGACCCTCGCCACCGCCCTGCAAACGCAGCGTGTCTTTGAGGACCGCTCACAGGGGCCCTCTCCTGGGCACCGAGCGTCAGTGACCAGAGAGAACAAGCGAGCGAGGAAGAGAAAAGGGCCCACTGGCTGCCCTGGGTGAAGGGCAGGCGGGCCACCTGGGCTGCCCAGCGAGCCGACTCGCTGAGGACCTGGGGGGGGGCCGCACGTGGGTCTGTCCCGGGCCCCAGTCTGCGGCCCCCACCCAGGGCTCTGCCCTCGCCCGCGGCCTTATCTCCAGAGCCTGTGGTGTGCGAGGGCCCAGCCCCTGCTCGGGTTCAGCTGCGAGCCCAGAGGGGGGGCGAGCCGCCCAGCCCACCCGCCGGCACCCGTGGGGCAGGGGCAGGGAGCCGGTCGCCTCTGACCGGCCGGCGCCGCCGCTCCTCCCGCAGGCTGTTCCCTCTGCGGGAGCCGGGGGTGAACTGGCACGCCAAGCCCCTCACGCTGCGGGAGATCCAGGTGAGCCGCGGCCCCGCCCACCCTGGGCGCGCCGCAGGGGCTGCCAGGGGGCCGGGCCTGCGCGCGGGCAGCTGGGGCGGGAGCGAGTCCGGGGAGCTGTGCAGGGACAGGTGGGCGGCGGGAGCTGCGGGGGCATGGCTCTCAGGGCTGAAGTGACGCCTCAGGCCCTGGCGACTTTGGAGGAGCTCCGGGCGGAGGGACGGTTACGGCGACGCGTCTCAGGGCCCCGTCGCCCGTCCCTTCCCCCCGCACCCTCCTCGGGCCGCCCCGCAGGAGTTTAAAGGCTCCAAGGAGGCCAGAGCGCGGCTCGTGCGCGCCTACGAGCTCATGCTGGGCTTCTACGGGATCGAGCTCCGCGACCCGGACTCGGGCGCCGTGTGCCGCGCGCACAACTACCAGAAGCGCTTCCAGAACCTCAACTGGTGAGGGCCCCCCGCCCCCGCTCCCACCAGCCAGCCCCGCAGGGCCCCGGGTTACGGAGGAAGGGGCTGCGGTGGGTTTCAGGCAGGGTCCCGGGAGCACCTTGGGGGAGGTGGGGCGAGGACTGACGAGCGCCCTCCCCCTCGCTTTGCTTGCCCGGCGGGGTGGGCCCGCCTCAGGAAAGTCCCACTGGTCGGTGTGGCTTCTCAGCCGCACGCCGCTGCCCGCGGGGCTCCGCAGCTTCGCAGGCACAGCGCCCCTCCCGGTGGAGAAGCGCGGGGGTCAGGGGTGTTCCATGGGACCAAGGGACAGTCACCTCCCAGAGGACAGAGGAGGCCTCCCCGCCCCCGTACCCCCCACCCCGCGCCATGCCAGGTCCCTGGAGGTGGGATAGGGAGGGGCGGGCCTCCACCAAGGACCGCCCACCAGCGCCCTCTGTCCCCGCCCCCAGGCACAGCCACAACAACCTGCGCATCACGCGCATCCTCAAGTCGCTGGGTGAGCTGGGGCTGGAGCGCTACCAGGCGCCGCTGGTGCGCTTCTTCCTGGAGGAGACGCTGGTGCACCGGCAGCTGCCGAACGTGCAGCAGAGCGTGCTGGACTACTTCGTGTTCACTGTGCGCTGCCCGCGCCAGCGCCGCGCGCTGCTGCGCTTCGCCTGGGAGCACTTCCGGCCGCGCCGCAAGTTCGTCTGGGCGCCCCACGACAAGCTGCGGAGGCGTGCGCTGCGCCCTCCTCCGCGGCCGCCCTCGCCGGCGGCCCCCGGCAAGGCCCAGGGGGAGGAGAGCCCCGGGGATGCCTTCCTCCAGGCCGACCCCTGCGGACCTGGGACAGGCCAGGGCGGGGACAGTGTGGCCGCTGGCCCCCAGCTTGCGAGCTCCGAGCCCCAGGAAGAGGGGGTCGAGGAAAGGGACCGGGGAGAGGCCGGGCCGGAACCTTCGAGCCCCAAGGAGGGCAAGAAGAGGAAGCTGGAGGCGAACCGGCGGGAGCAGGCCCCCGGGGAGGCGGGCCCCCAGAGCTCCTCCGAGGTGGAGAAGATCGCCCAGAACTTGGAGGACTGCGCGCTCAGCCAGGGGGGCCTGGGGGCGGGGACCCAAGAAATGGTCAGCCAGGAACCAGGGGAGACCGAGCAGGCCTGTCCCCCGCCCCCAGGGGCCAAGGCGGCCGACGACGAGGTGAGGAAGCGGAGGAAGGTGGACCAGTCTCCGGCCCCCACCTGGCCCCCTGCCCAGCCAGGGCCCCCTGAAGCTGGCGTGGGCGAGAATGGGGTGGAGCAGGCGGCGGCAGAGGGCCAGGGCCCCGGCGCGCCGGAGCAGGATGCCCCCGAGAGCTCGGCCGCTGAAGAACCTGCCGCGGACCAGAAGGCGGAGGCGGCTGAGGCGGGACTGGCTGCCGAACCGCGAACGCCCTAGGCGGTGGGGCGCCAGTGCGCACGCTGGCCTGGCCCTGTGCGCTGTGCCGGACGACCCGCGTTGCCAGCTGCTCCCAGCGCCGGCAGTGCTGGCCCCTCCCCGGCGGTCGCTGCGGTCAGCCGGGGAAACACAGAACTCCAGAATCCTCACCTCGCCTTCCTGTCCTGCCTCCCTCCTCCTCCGGGGCCGCTGGTCCGTCTTTGTAAATTGGCCCCTGAGGGTCTGGGAAGCGGGTGCAGGTCATTTTCTAAGTCTGGTGCCCAGGCCTTTTCTGAATAAACTCGTTTGACTTAGAGCGCTCTGGCGTGGGTGGCCCAGGGACTGGTTTCAGGGGCCGGGCCGCGCCAGGCTGTGCACACAGGCGTCACTCGCAGGGGCTCACAGGCCCCACCCACGTACCCGATCATACCCGCTGGGGCTGGACGGGCAGCCCCTTGCCTGCCTCTGGTCGGAGCAGAAGCAAGTTTGGGGGATGCGTGGGCGGAGGGAGGGGGGTGCCTGGGGTCTAGGCCACGCCCCCGCCCGCCCTCATGGCGGAGCAGGCGCAGTGTACTGCTTTGGGAGCAAGCTCCCTCGCTCCGTGGCTCTGTCCCTGCCGGCCACGGCCCCCTGTTGACCCTGCATGCTGAGGCACGGCCTTCCAGGGCTCCCCCGGCCCCTCTGACCTGGTGGGCGCACGGTGCGCCCCTCCCCACGGGGCGTGGCCAGCTCTGTCCCCTGGGCCAGAGCCTTCCCTCCCTGACACTGGCCCGCGTGGCCTCGTGGGGGGCCCCACACTCGCAGGAATGGAGGGACCAGCTGCAGCGCCCCCCGGGGCAGGCGCAGGGAGCAGTCGCCAGATCTGGGTCCCTTTCAGTGAGAAGCACTTGATGATTCGCCCCTGGGGGGGGGGGGGCGCAGGGTGTGCCAGACACAGGGGTCATTTTGGACAGGAGAGGCCCAGAGGCCCAGTGCTCACGTTCACCAGCGCTGGCGTGGGGGGAGGGGCGTGCACTCGGCTCCCACCGCGGAGGAGAAACTGGGCCCCGATGAGGGCGTGAGGTGTGGAACACAGAGTCACGCTGGCACCCCGGGAGGCCGGGTCCCCGGGAGAGTGCCCTCCGGGGCTCGAGTTCAGATGCAGGAGCTCGAAGCCCGGAGGAAGCCCCGTTGGAGCCGCCCTGGAGCGGGCGGGTGGGCAGCTCCCGCCCACTGACCCCAAGCTGTGGCCCCTGTGGCCCCAGCCCCAGTGTTTGAGCTTGGGGGGGGGCGTTGGGCAGCTCCCAGGGGGAGGGTCCGCTGGCAGCGGGAGGTGGGTTTGCGGGGGGCGGTGGGAGAGGGTGTCGGACAGCAGGGGGCTCCCTGGTGGAGCTGAAGGCCAGCGGGCGGGGCCCTGGGGCCGGGCGGGAGGGGCCGAGGGGTGAGCTGCCGCCCGACCTTGCTCCCGGGCCCTGGGCTGGGGGTGGGGTTGCCGCTTCCCGCCAGCCCCGTGCTGTCTCCCACCGAGGCCAGCTCAGACTCTGCTGGGGCGCAGGAGTTCCCAGCTTCTCTGAGCTCTTCCCAGTGCAACCCAGACCCTCCCTCCGGCTCACGGGCGAGGCCGGGCCTGGGTCCGAGGTCTGGCCGAAGGAGAAGCCCGGCGGGCGCTCCGGAGCCAGGTGCTTCCCCACGGCTCCTGCCTCCCTTTCCGCCTCCCGTCGGGGTTCACAGCGTCACAAAAGCCCTGAGTTCCCACCCGTGCAAATGAGGCTAACACGGCGTGCGGCGTCCCCCGGGGTGGGCCTGCGGGTGACCTGGCCGGTGGAGAGGCCCCAGGGGACCCCGGAGACCTCCTGGCCCCAGGTGCTGCCCCTCTCCCCCCACCCCCGGGGCGAATAACCAGAGCTTGCCTGGGGCAGGGACCCCGAGCTGCCCGCGGCTGTGAGAGACCCAGGTGGCCGTCCCTTCCTCTCTGCCGGGCCCACTGCTCTGCTCTCTCTTGGGGTGAGGGGGGCCAGGGGGCAGTCTGGCCTTGGCCTCCGGGCCACATGTGTCCGTGTGGAGTTTGGGATCAGGCCCTGGGGTCCAGAGAGCAGGCATGGCCCATAGCAGGGACCAGGGCTGTGGGGGCCTGCCTGGGCCTTGGGCAGCCGGGGCCCCACTCAGGACCCTGAGGAAAAGTGGGCAGGTTCTGGGCCCCGTTTCTGGGACGAGGCTGCTGCTTCCCTGAAGGGTCCCCTCAGTGTGGGCTCTCCGCACTCGGGGGGAGGGGCAGGGGAGAAAAGAGCATCTTTCTTCTTCGCTAAAAGGTATGTGTGTGCAGCTCACCAGTCTGGGTTAATTTTAACCCAGAGGCCAGCCCCAAAAATGCCACTGGAGCTGTTTCCCCCTGCCTGGCCCGGCGGGGAGCGCGGCCAGCGGAAGCCCCCGCCCGCGCAGGTGGGCCCCGCTGAATGGGGGGCTTGTGCGCGGCCGGAGGGGCGGGAGCTGGCGGCCCGCCCACCGCCCGCCCCGCCCGCCGAGCCCCGAGCCCCAGCCGGCCGCCGCCACCAGCGCCGCTCAGACCGAGCGCAGCCATGGCCCGAGCCCCTGCCCTGGCCCTGCTCCTGCTCGGGCAGCTCCTGGCCGGGACGCCCGTGACCGAGGCGCAGGTGAGCACAGGGCCGCAGGCGAGCCCGGCCCGCCCCGGCGAACAGCGGGCTGGGGCGGGCGCCCAGGGCGGGCGTGGGGCAGCGCACCCTGGGGACGACCCCTGTCCCGGCCCGGCCGCCCTGGGCTGGCCGGCAGGTGAGCCGGGGACGCTAGGGGTTGTCGCAGCCGCCGGGCTGAGCCCCCCCAGACCCCAGGGCCGCTCAGGAGGAGCCCAGGTGGCTGCCCGGTCGTCTCCAGGCTGGGGTCCAGCCACGCCAGAGCCGCCGCCACCACCGGACACACAATGTCGCCTTTGTTCCCCCAGTCGCCCTGGCAGGGCCGCCACAGCCCCTCCTGGCTGCACAGACCGGGCGGCCGACATCCCCACGGGGTCTCTGAGGCCACAGGGCCCGTGGGCCCGAGCCAGGCCCCGGTGCTGGGCCACCTGGGAAGATGGGACGCTCTGTCGGGCTGACCCGAGGGCCTGCCAGGGGACCCACCTGGAGGGTGGGGTGGGGAGGGTGGGGAGGGATGGCAAGCCCCAGGTGCCTAACGGCATTTCTCCGTTTCAGAAAATGGGCCCCAGAGGCCCCCCGGGCCCCCAAGGGCCACCTGGGAAGCCAGGCAAGGACGGCATCGATGTGAGTGTGGGGTGCGGGAGGACCGGGGGGGACGACTCTGTGGGGTCCAGCTCTGGTCGCCTCAGACCCCCTCGAAGCCCCAGGCCTGTTGGAGAAAAAACTTAGTCCCACCTCCCAGGGCTGGGCGACGTCAGGGCGATGAGCCAGCACCCTCGTGGGATGTGCCGCGAGGCAACGGTGGCCCTGTTCTCACCTGGGACCCACCCCACGGGATGGCATCCCCGGGCGGGGCGGGGAGGTGACAGCGTGGGGGTCCTTGGACCGGCAGTGAGGGCCCTGAGGTGCGGGGCCCTGCGCCCCCGTGTTCTGGGGACTGAGCATGGCCGTGCGGGGCCTGGCCCTCCACCTGGGCTGCTGGGGGCTGCAGCCAGCCTTGGGGGGGGGCCTGTGCCGTGTCGTGCAGCCCCCACAGGTGCACTCCCCTCCGGGCAGCCTGTGCAGGGGCAGCGGAAACCCTGCCTCCTGGCCACCCCCGCCCAGCCACCCCCACGAAGGACAGGGGCCCCCCCACGACGCCCCCGCCTCCCCGGGCTCCCAGGCCCAGCTGGTCAGGCCTTTGCAGGGGGCTTGCACTTGAAGCCCTGCCCGCCGGGTGTGGGGGCGAGGCCAGGGTGGCCTTCCTGGGCCTCGACAGGGCCAGGGCCGGGGCCACCCCCTCTGGCCACGTGGAAGCAGGAGGCCCAGTTTCTGGAGCTTTCTGGCCAGTGGAGGCCCAGGGCTTCGGGACGGACGTGTGCCCTCGATCCCGGGGGTCGTGCCCTGAGCCCTCAGAGGGACCGTCTCCCGGAACCTGTGGGCCATGCGGGTACTGCACCCTCCCCCGGGTGCTCGCCCCTCCCCCGGGGCCTGGCCCTGGAGAGGCGGCGCCCCTAGCTGTGGACGAGGGGGTGAGGGGCGCCCATCGGGGGTGGGGTCTTCAGGGGACACTTGGTCACACGGGGTGTCTCCCTTCTGCAGGGAGAAGCTGGCCCTCCCGGCCTGCCTGGGCCCCCGGTGAGTGCCCCTGCTGTGGTGGGGGAGGGGAGCGCTGGCCAAAACGGAGTGGGCATTGACCCCCCCGCCCCGCAGGGGGCCTGGGGAGCAGGACGGAGGGCCCCAGCGGGGCTGAGCCGGGCAGGGGGCGGGGGGCAGAGTGCGGGGCCCTGCGTGGGTGCAGGCCGGCTCTGGGTCCGAGGCTTCCTTCCCGCCTGGGACCCGCAGCCCCGAGCCGGGGGACCGGTTGGAGGTCCGGTCCTGAGCCCCGACGGGGCTGTTCCGCCTGGAACGGAGGCTCCTGGGCCCACGGTGGGGCCGCCAGCCCCGAGCCAGGGAGGCTGGAGTGGGCGGGTGGACGCCCTGTCATAGATGTGACCGGCCGGGGGCGCAGAGGGGAGGGAGGCCCCCCGGGGCCAGCACCGGTGGGCTGAACCCCAGCGGGGCAGGGTCTTCGGGCCGGAGCGGCACCTCAGCGGAGAAAACGCCGGACTGCCCCCTCACGTCTCTGCCCCCCCCCCCCGCAGGGGCCGAAAGGGGCTGCGGGGAAGCCGGGGAAGCCAGGAGAGGCCGGGCTGCCGGGGCTGCCGGGCGTGGACGTGAGTGTGCCCGCTCCCCCAGGGCCCCTGCCCGCCCCCTGAGGCCCCCTGCCCCCTCTCCCGCCACCCCCCCCAGCCCCCGTCCCCAGCCCCAGGAGTCCAGGTTAATTGCTCCCCTCCCGCCGGGCCTGCCCCGGCGTCCGGACGCCCCAGCAGGCCGCCCCTGGCCTTCGTCCCGGAGCCTCGTCTGGCCGGGCCCGCGGGGGACAGAGCCCGCCCACGGCACAGGCGAGGGTCCCAGCCCCCCTTTCTTGTTTGTCTGGGGACAAGTGCCCACGACCCAGGCCCCTCCCAGTCCCCACTGGGTATCGGCCAGCAGGGGCTCCAGGGCTGGCCCCGGGACCACTGGGCTTCATGAGGACGGCAGGGCTGTGAGACGGGAGCTCCCCGGCCTGCTGGGCTCTGTGCGCTGGCCTTCCGCTGGCTGCCCGGCGTCCCCCAGGGGCCCGACCCACCCAGGGGACAGCGGACGGCCAGGAGAGGAAGGTGCCAGGCCCGAGGTCACCTCGGCAGCTCTGGACTCGGTTTAGCGAGGGAAGGGCCCGCGGCTGGTTCCTCCCCCGCAACCGGGAGGGGGGGCACGTCCTTCCACGTGACCCCTTGAGCCCTTCGTCCCCCTCCCCAGGGTCTGACCGGGAGGGAAGGACCGCCTGGATCCAAGGGCGCCCCCGGAGAACGGGTGAGTGCCAGCGCCGCGGGGGCGGCTTCAGCGCCGGGGAGGCCGGCGCCGGGAAGGCCGGGCTGGCACCCCTCCGTCCACAGGCCCTGGGGCTGGCGGCTCTGGGGGCAGCTGCCATGACAGGGACGGTGCCGCCGTGGGGGCGGGCAGGAGTGCAGGGGACACGGGGCCCAGGGCGCAAGCGGACAGCCCCTCGGGGAGGCCTCCCCCCTCCACACCCGCCTGCGGTCGCAGCTGTCCTGGCGTTCAGGCCGTGTCGGGAGGCCGGTGTGGTCGGGGGGCGACGGCCCCCCATGCACGCCCCCTCCCCGGGGGGACCTCTCCCACGCCGGCTCTGTGTCCCCCCGAGAGGCCCACGGTCACCTAGACTGTGCATTAGGTCTGACCACCGTTCCCTGAAGCCTCCTGACTGGGCAGTGCCTCTCGGGGAGACTCTCCAACCCCCACGCTGTCCCCTTCCCCTGGAGGGCAGCGGCCGTCCACCCCAGCCCTGGGACACGGGCGGCACAGCCCCGCCCCCGGGAGCTCAGCTGCGGGAGTGCGGAGACAAGAGGCTTCTGGACCCACCAGTGGGTCTTTCGGGGCCCAGTGGACGGGTGGGGGAGGGCAGGGGAGCCCCAGGCCTCCTGCAGGGAGTCTGAGCTGGGGGGACATGGCGGGGAGGGGGAGTGGCCTCAGCGAGGACGGTGTCCTCGGGGTGCTGGGCTGCGGGAGACGCAGGGCCAGGCCGTCCGTTCTGGGCTCCCTCCGGGGGGTCGGGGCCTCATGACCCCTGCGGCAGCTGACCCAGAGGACTTCCTGGCCGAGGAAACACAGGCCACTGGGGGTCCGGAGGCCCCCCACACCCAGGGCCTCAGACCTCTGTGCAATGGGGACCCCTCCTCAAAGGAGGTGCAGGATGGATTGGGGGACGACTGGGCCCGGCCGGCCCCTGACGCCTGGTTTCCTCCCGCAGGGCAGTCTGGGCCCCCCAGGGCCCCCCGGGCTTGGGGTGAGTCCTGTCTTTCTCCGGGCGGGAGTGTGAGGGGCGGGAGGGTCTGCTGTCCTCCTGGGCCGGTCCCAGGTGCCCTCTGGGTGGGGTCCTCTTCTCCGGGGGTGGGGGAGGCTCTTCCCCACACCCGTCTGGGTGTCAGTGGAGTGGGGGAGGGGGGAGGGCCGCTCACCGCCCTGTCCCCAGCAGCTCTGACCCTGTTGTTGGCTTCGCAGGGCAAAGGCCTCCCCGGACCCCCCGTGAGTACCCTCAGGGCCCCCACTGAGCACGCCCACCACACCCACCCAGGGCCCCCTGGCTGCCAGGTCCCCCCACACCGGGGTGGGGCGCAGCTTCTGGGGTTGACAGAGACCTGGCCAGCCACCCCCCCCCCGAGTCTCCATGTCTTTGGAGAGGGCAGACCGGCCCTGCGTGGGGGTCCGGGAGCCTTTGGTGTGACTCCGCCCTCACCTCTTTACCCCGCCCCCCCCCACAGGGAGAGGCAGGAGTCAGCGGGCTCCCAGGCGGACTCGGCCTCCGGGGCCCCCCGGTGAGTGGCTTCCCCAGGCCCTCCCCACCTCGGGGAGCGGGCGCCCTACCTGCCAGGACCCCGACTGCAACCACCAGGGGTTTCCCCATTCTCTCCCCTCCCCTGCCTCCCCTCCCCCCTTTCCTTTCTTGATGGAAGCCCGAGTGACATCTGGGGACAGGGCATGACATCTGCGGGCAGGGACAAGCCCGGCCTCGGAAGCGCAGATGCGAGAAGCAGGCCAGTCCAGGCCGGGGAGGTGGGCGGAGCTGGAGGCGGCCCCCAGGGGCACCATCCAGAGCCGCCTCTCCCGGGCAGCCGCTGGTGCCCCTCCCCCCCCCCCCCCCGCCCTCCCGCTCCGGTGAGGCCGGTCCTGCTCCGTCTAAGTCATAACCCACCCCCCAGGGACCCTCTGGACTCCCAGGCCTGCCTGGCCCCCCGGGCCCTCCAGGACCCCCTGTGAGTACTGGGCGGGGGGCTGGCTGCGGGTGTGGATGGCTCCCCTCCCCCGGGACTCCCCGGCACCCGCACCCACGCCCAGTGTCCAGGCGGAGCCCGGGGCCGAGGCAGAGACTCGGGGCGGGTCAGGGCTCGGGTGGCTCCGTCACTGTCCCCTGCCCTGCGGATGGGCCAGCAGCACGAGGTGCTGGCCACGTGGGGGCTGGGGCACCCGAGTCCCCGGTGGTGGCGGGTGTGGGGAGGGGTGGGCGGTGGGCTGGGTCAAAGTCAGCCACCTCTGTTCCAGGGCCACCCAGGGGTCCTCCCCGAAGGCGCGACGGATCTCCAGGTGGGTGCCGCTCGGGGAGGGGGGGGCGTGTGTTGGTGGGAGGGGGCTCTGCCCCGTCACCGACCTTGCACCCGTTGGGAGGCCAGCCCCTCCACCCCCGCAGGGAACGGGGAAGGCAGGGGCAGGTCTGGGCTCGGCCACGGCCCGGGGGCGCTGGGCACCGCAGACGGGACGTGCCCCTCGCGGAAGGTTCCAGACTTCAGTCTGGGGCTCGCTGCTCCCTTGGCCTTTGAGCTCCGTGGGTGGCTTGTGTGAAAGGGAGAACACTCCGGCCGCGTCCCAGAGGGCGGCGTCTTCCGGATGAGGGCAGGGGCTGAGCCCCCAGGGGTCTGCCAGATCAGCGGTGGAAGGATCTGCAGTCCTCAGCCCCCGCCCCACCCCCTCCCCACCGTGGGGCATCCAGTCCGCGTCCGAGGGACGGGCGTCCCCCCCCATCCCTGGAAAGCACGTCTGTGCGAGGCGGAGCCGCCCTGCTCACGGCGGGGCGCCGGGGCGTGGATGAAGGCCCCTTTGTGTGGCCCCAGACACTCTCCGGCCCGCGGCGGCCCGGTCTGCGCTGAGGCCGGGAGGTTGGAGCCGGGCTGCGGGGGGGGGCCCAGGGGCCTGGCGGCCGTGGTCTGGCCCCCACAGAGCCCGCGGCCGGCCCTGAATGAGGCCCCTGTGTCTGGGAGGGGACTGACCACTCTGTTTTCCAACAGTGCCCGGCCGTCTGCCCGCCGGGGCCCCCTGGTCCCCCGGGGATGCCAGGGTTCAAGGTGAGTGGTGGCCAGGGGGTGACTCAGACCCCGCCCACCTCCACGCCCCCGGGGGGGGGCAGCTCGACCCCTATGTGGGCTGAGATGGGGGGACGTGGGAGCCCAGAAGGGGGGGCTGGCCTCCCACCCTGCCTGGGGGCCTGGCTCCGTGCCCCCTCCCCGTCACCCCTGCTGCGATCCACTGGGCGCTGGCCGAGAGAGCCGGCGTGGTCAGGCCCCACCCCTTGCCGGCCCGGCCTGCTTCCCCCAGGGGCTCTGGGGCCTGGGCCCCCGGGAGGGTCGGGCTGTGACTCACCGCCCCCCCCTTCCAGGGACCCACTGGCTACAAAGGGGAGCAAGGAGAAGTCGGCAAGGACGGCGAGAAGGTGCACGGCGGGCCCCCGCTCGGGGGCGGTGACCAGGGCTGCGGCCGGGCGGAGGGGCAAGCGAGCGGGCGCTGGGGGCGCTGGGGGCGCGCCCCAATGGTACACCTCCCCAGTGGGCCTGGCTGCCCCGGGTCGGGTGACATGGGACAGGGTCTCTGAAGAGACCCCCACCCCTGCTGGCTGGGGCAGCCCCACCGGTGGCCAGGGAGTGAGGCCCATGTGGCCAGACCCCCACGTGGGCAGCAGGGGCCGCCCCGGCCAGGAGTGGTGTCTGGGGAGGGCCCGGGAGAGCTGGGGGCTGACCTCTCACCTTCACCTCCCCCGCAGGGTGACCCCGGCCCCCCCGGGGCCCCCGGGCTCCCCGGCACAGTGGGGCTGCAGGTGAGTGGCACGTGGGCTGGATGGGGTGCGGATGCGGGAGGGGAGCCCCTTGGGCAGCGCGGGGTGTGAGGGGCGGTCACCACCGGTGCCCACGGCGTGAATGTGGACGGGGCCCGCCTCTCGAGCTGGGGGGTCCCGGGGGTGCACCGCCGGGGGCCGCCCACAGCTCTCAGGGGACGTGAGGCCCTGGGGCTGTATCTCCACTCTCTCCCCCAACCCCCCCCACAGGGCCCTCGGGGCCTCCGAGGACTGCCAGGGCCGCTTGGGCCGCCCGGGGACCGGGTAAGTCCGCCAGCCCCCACGTGGCCCAGCCCGACGCCAGCCAGGTGGTGGGAGGCCCCTCCCTCCCAATCTCTCCAGTGGCCGCAGCTGGGCCTGGGCAGGCTGTGCCTGGGCCTCCGCTCCCCCGTCCTTCCAAAGCCGGGGCTGTGAGGGCATCTCGGGCCTGGGGTTGGGGCAGGAGGGGGGTGGGGGACACTGGGTGGCCCACTCAGGACGGGCCTGCTGGGGGGCTCCTCCAGACGAAGCTAAGTGCCCTGTGGGCTGCTAGCAGGCTTCAGAAGTGAGGCCCGGGCGCCCCCCTTTCTCTGCAGGGTCCCATCGGGTTCCGAGGACCCCCCGGGATCCCAGGAAGCCCCGGGAAAGCGGTATGTGGGAGCCTGGGGGGCGGAGGGTGGTCGGCAGGCTCTCTGTCCCCCCGCTTCCTGCCTCAGATGCCCCCCAGCCCCACTGGCTGCACGGGCCCCTCCCGGGCTGGGGCCGGTCTGTGGGCACCCCAGGCCAGGCACCCTTGGGTGCACCTGAGCAGGAACCAGTGGGCCCCCGGCGGGCACGCCCACCAAGCGGTCTCTCAGTGCTTCCTGGAAGACTCGAGTCCGTCCCTTCTGGGCGTGCAGCGAGCTGTGCGTGGCGCCCCTCGGGCCGAGACCCTCAGCGGCATCGGCCCTGGGCCTCTGCCCTGCTCCGGGCAGTCACCCCGGCCAGGCACACCCCACTCCCCCTGCCCCCCTGCTCCAGTCGCGAGCTCTGCCCCTGTCCTTCTAGGGCGACAGAGGCGAGAGGGGCCCCGATGGGTTCCGCGGCCCCAAGGGCGACCTCGTAAGTAAGAGACCCACCCGTGCGTCCCAGGGTCCTTCGCTGAAGGGGCCCGGCCTGCGGGGGTCCGGGAGGACACGCGGCCGGCCGGAGCCAGGGGCGTGGGGTGGCCGCCCCTCCCCGGGTGGGGGGGGCGGGGGGGAGCCATGGGAGCCCGCAGCCCCCATTTCCCAGCGGTCATCCGGCTGGCTGCCCCCGAGCGGCGGCCGCTGCTTGCCCTGACACACCCCCGTCGAGGGCCCCGGGCATGGGGGCCCTGACCCGCGCCCTGGCTGCCCTGTGGGCTGCGCCGGCGCAGAGCGCATGACCTGGGTTAAGCAAACGCACCAAAGCCGGGAGGTGACGAAGTGCCAGAGTGACCACCCCCAGACCAGCGTTCGCCTGTGGACGCCCCGACACACCGGTTCTTTCCCTGGTGGCCGCCCAGTGCTGGGGGGCCCGCAGGGCCCCAGGACAGGCCCCCGGCCCCAGCACGACAGCTTGTGGGTCCCGGCTGCAGCGGCTCTCCTGTCTTCCAGGGACGACCAGGGCCCAAGGGAGCCCCTGGAGTGACCGGGCCGGCCGGAGAGCCGGTGAGTCCCTGCGGCCGCCGCTGCACGGCTTTCTGCCGCCTGTGCCCCTCCCCGGGCTTCACGCCGCGCGGTCGTCCCCTGGGAACGCGTCACGGTGGTCGAACAGGCCCCCCGGGTCTCTGTCCCACGGGCGCGGGCCCAGCTGCACGGAGGCCGGGCTGTTTGTCTGCGTGTGGGGCCCGCGAGGCGCAGGGGGCCGGGCAGGGCCGGCAAACATCGTGCTGGGCCCCCGCCCTCTGTGCCCACTCAGCCCAGACCCCCCCGTGACCTCGCCCTCTGGGCAGGACGCCTGGGACCGGGGACTCAGGGCCAAGGGCGGTCCCCCTCCCGGGACTGGCTGGGTCCTCAGCTCCAAACGGTCCTGAGTGTGGGGTCGGACAGGCCGGGCCCAGAGCCCGGCTCCCGGGCCTCAGTCTCCCCACCTGTAAAACGGGACTCCCCGAGGGGGCCGCGCGGGGTCCCACAGGGCGCCCCTCACCTGGAGGGTCTGAGTGGGGGGTGCAGGGTGACCTGCGGCACGGACTCGTGAGGCCAGTTTGGGGTCCGCTGGCTCAGGAGGCCGAGTCAGTGCCTGGGGGTGGGGGGAGGGGTCTGCCCGAGCAGGGTGGGGGGGGAGCTGCAGGGCAACGGGGTTCGGGAGGACGGGGCGTGGGGGGCTGCCCGTCAGGACTCCTGCCCTCGCCTGTCCCCAGGGCATGCCGGGCAAGGACGGCCGGAATGGCGTGCCGGGACTGGATGGCGAGAAGGTTAGTGCCTGGCCTGTGGCCTGCGGAGGAGGGCTCTGGGGGGGTCCCGCCCCCGAGCTGGGCATCCGCACCCCCTCACCCCCGAATCTCCTGCAGGGAGAGGCCGGTCGCCATGGAGCCCCCGGAGAGAAGGGTCCCAACGGGCTGCCGGTGAGTGTGGGGCTCCAGGGGGCAGGCTCCCAGGCCAGGCCGTCTGCTGCGGGGGCCTGACGGGGGGTGGGGGGGGGTGTTCTCCTCTGGACCCGGCAGCTCTGACCCCGGACCCCTGCCCTGCAGGGCCTCCCCGGACGAGCAGGCTCCAAGGGTGAGAAAGGAGAACTGGTAGGTGGCTTCGTCCTCGGGGGAGGGGCGGCCGGCCCAGGCCCCGCACGAGGGCGAAGGCGGCAGGCGCTCAGGGCTCCCGTCCCGCCCACAGGGCCGAGCTGGAGAGCTGGGCGAGGCCGGCCCCTTGGGGGAGCCCGGCATCCCGGTGAGTGTCCCCCGCCTCCTCCGCCCCTCCCCCGCCGTCGGGCACGGACCCTGCTGACACCCCCCCCCCCCCCCGCGCAGGGAGACGTGGGCATGCCCGGGGAGCGCGGCGAGGCTGGCCACAGGGGCTCGGCGGTGAGTGGGGAGAGAGCGAGGGCAGGGGCGGGCAAGGGCCCAGCTTCTGTGGGGCCGGGCAGTGTTCGGGGTGCATCCACGGGCTGAGTGCGAGACACCCAGGGGTGGGGGGGCCAGGCCTGAGCCCTCCGGCCCCCGGGACCCGTGTGCCGGCGGGGGGTGGACAGAGCCACCCCCTAGCCTCAGCCCGCAGTGGTGCCGGGAGCTCCCCCAGCTGCATGTCCTCCCTGGGTGGCAACGACAATGATGGGCTCCGGTTCCTGGCACCCAGTCGGCTGACACACGAGCACCCAGTGTGCGCCTGGCCTGGACTCCGGGACCCCCAGCTCCCCCACGGGGCACCCCCACCCCCCTCAGGCCCTCGTGACTGGGCCGGAAGGCGGGGGGCGGGCTCCTGGGTCCGCCCAGTCCCCGGGGAGGGGGAGCTGAACGCACTCTGCCCCTCTGATTCTCAGGGGGCTCTCGGCCCGCAAGGCCCTCCCGGGAACCCTGGCGTCCGAGGCTTCCAGGTGGGTCGGCCGGGTCTGGGGTTTGGGGGCCAGCTGGGTGGGGAGGGGTCCCTGGGTGGCTCCCTCGCGGGTGTTGACCGGTGGGCCGTCGTCCGCAGGGCTCGAAGGGCAGCATCGGGGACCCTGGCCTGCCAGGCGCCCAGGGCCTCCGTGGCGGTGTGGGCGACCGGGTGAGTGGCTAGGCCGGCGCGGCCGTCCCCAGGGTCCCAGGGCTTGGAAAGGAGCCTGAAAACCGTCACTCCCCAACCCCGGGGGGACCCTCCCCCGGGGGGACCCCCAGACACCCAGGGGACAGGCGCAGGGAGGGTCCCGCACGCGGGCCTGGCCTTGGGGCCGAGTGTCCAGGGAGGGCGCCCGTGCCTTCAGTCCTGAGTCCCCTGACCCCGAGCCTTCCCTCTGCGCAGGGCCCGGAAGGAGCCACGGGCCCTAAGGGCGACCAGGTGAGCCTGAGGGGGTGGGGGGCGGGCAGGTGTGGGGAGGCTTCTCACCTCCCTCCTCCACCTTCGTCCTGGGCGCTCGCCTGCTCCCGGCTCCCTCCCGGAGGGGGGTGGTGAGAACACAGGGCCAGTGCTCAGGGGGAGAGCGCGCCCCCTGCTGGCCTGGGCCGGCGACAGGGGCGGCAGGTCCCGGACCCGCCTGCTTCTCCAGGCCGCCCAGGCCCTTTCTGTGCCGGCAGCCGGGGACCCGGGACCACCTCAGCGTGGCCGGCGTGCCCCTGGGAGGAAAGCCTGTTGGGGTGGACAGATGACGCCGGCGGGGGTCTGGGGACGGTGCGGACAGTCCCTTTAACTGCGGGGTGTCATTCCAGGGCATCGCCGGTTTCGACGGTCTTCCCGGGGACAAGGGCGAGCCGGTGAGTGTGATCGCGCCGCCGGCCTCACGCCGGCCGGTTCGGGGACCGCCCGCGTGGGGAGGGGCCGCCTGCAGGCAGAGCCGCATGGCGGGCTCAGGGACCATCTGACTGTAACCGGTTCCTCGGCAACCGCTCCCCACCGAGCGGCAGTGCCAGTCACCGCAACGCTCCCCTTCTCCCCGCAGGGACCCAGCGGCCCCGTGGGGTCCAAAGGAGAGGTGAGTGGCTGCCCCGCGGCCGGATGACTACCCGCAGAGGAGCCCACCGGCCACCTGGTCCCGCTGTTCCCCCACAGCCCGGCAGTCGAGGGGAGCTGGGCCCGAAAGGCATCCAGGGCCCCAACGGCACCGGCGGCGTCGACGGCGTGCCGGGCCCGCCCGGGCCCGTGGGCATCCAGGGCGTCCAAGGCGTGCCTGGCATCACCGGGAAGCCTGGGGTCCCGGTGCGTGTCCTTCCTTCGGAGCGTGCGTCGGGGGGCGGTGGGGGGACCGGCACGCCACCGTGCGCCGACCGACTCCGGCTGAATTCCAGGGGAAGGAGGCCAGCGAGCAGCGCATCCGGGAGCTGTGCGGCGGCATGGTCAGCGGTGAGTGCCCCCCCCCGCCCACCCCTCGGTCCCCAGCTCTGCCGCCCACGGGTGGGGCTGTCCCGAGTGTCCGCTGAACAGAACAGTTACCAGGGACACGAAACCGTGCCCCTTCGGCTGTGGCGGGCCCAGGGGGCATCTCTGGCCTCTCTGAGGACACCTTTCCGGAGCTCCAGACACCCGAGGGCCCCGCCCAGCCTGGTTTGCTCCCGAGCACGCGGGGGGCAGACGGCGTTGGTCGCGGGGCTCTGAGCCGCTGCAGCCGTGCTCGGTCGGCAAACTCCCTCTGGAAGGCGGTGCCGACGCCCCACGGGTGGCGCGCTCTGGGTGACCCCCGCGGGTCACCTCGCGCCTCTGTCTCCAAAGAACAAATCGCACAGCTGGCCGCTCACCTGAGGAAGCCGCTGGCGCCGGGAGCCATCGGTCGGCCCGGACCTGCAGGCCCCCCAGGCCCCCCCGGGCCCCCAGGTTCCATTGGTCACCCTGGCGCCCGGGGGCCCCCCGGATATCGTGGTCCCACCGGAGAGCTGGGAGACCCCGGGCCCAGAGGTGAGTCCAGGTGGCCCCACCCCAGCCACCCCACACGTTGTGTCCCCCGAAAAGAGATGTCCCCTCCGTGGGGACCAGAGAGAAAAGGGAACCCCAAGGAACTCGGGGACCCTGGCCTGGCCTGTGCCCCCACACGGACGCCCGGAGCTCTGGCAGGTGGCGCTTTCGCTGGAGCCGCCTGCGGCCAGCACAGCCGCGTCCACACCCGCCCTGCCGGCTGGCCCCACGCCGTTTTCCCCACGAAAAGGTGCGGTTTTCCCCAAAACCCCCAGGTCCGCACTTGGCGGACAGCACGCAGGGCCCCTTTCTGGAAACGCAGATACTCGAAAACTCACTCACAGTCCCCTGCAAAGAACTAGGGATGGCGACTCAGAAAGAAGGTGGAATCCCAGGCGTGTGCCGAGGACCGTGCCGGGCACGGCCTTTCCGCCCACGGCCTTTCGCACTTAGTTCACCGTAGGATGCTCGGGTGGCCGGCCGTCTGTGGGGGAACCTTGTGGCCCAAAGGAAGAATTTAAAGCTCACGATTCCAGCTCGCTCCGACCTACTGGCCACAGGACTTTGTTCCAAGAGAGCTCGGGCGTCGGACAGTTTGGCACCAGAGGCAGCCGGGCGGGTGCCGGGGCCAGGCTGGGCCGCGGTCAGGGCCCAGGCCCTCCAGCTCCCCCGAGCAAACTGGAGCCGGCCGGTCAGCGCCAGGCCGACGGCCCCACTCACCTGGCTCTGTCCAGGTGTCCCCGCAGCAGCAAAAGGTCCCCTCACCGCTGGGGGCGGGGACCACACGGCTGGGGGACATTTGGAGACGCCGTGACTCGTGGGCTCAGACCGCGCTGAACACGGGACATCCTCGGCTCTGCCGCAGGCTTCCCCGTGTCCGAGCGGGGTCCCAGGTGCCGGGCGGCTCTAACCCCCCCTTCTGCGAACCCCCCCCCGACAGGAACCCCGGGCGACAGAGGAGACAAGGGCGCGGCCGGCGCGGGGCTGGACGGGCCCGAGGGAGACCAGGGGCTGCCAGGTACAAGGCCGCTGCTGCCGGCGCCGCCCGCGCGTGTCTCTCGGCACCTTTCCTGGGCCCCGGGGCTCCCCCCAGCGCGGCCCCCTGGGCGGCGGGGTGGACGGGCCTATGGCCCGTAAGCAGGTCCTGGTCCCGGTCCCGGTCCCGGTCCCGGTCCTGGTCCGGCTGCCCCGCTGCAGCTCTGCGGGTCTGCTTCCGGGCGGCCTCTCTGCCGCCATCTAGTGTGCACGGCAGTTAAGTTCTAACAGAACCTTCTCCTAACTGACCGACCCTCAGTGCCTGTCTCCACTCCCGTCACCTGAGCCCTGTCCCCAGCGGAGGCCGGCCTGCCGCGTCCCCCCCCCACAGCTTCCGGGGGACAGGACTTTCCCTGAACCCACACCCCCAACCTCCTCCCTGGGCCCTCGAGGCCGCCCCCGCACACGCTCACCCTGTCTGCCCTGGGCTTCCCCTCCCCGGGCCCCCTCCCCGGTTAAGGGACAAACCAGTACACAGCAGGGTGGGCATCCGCGGGCCCACTGCCCGCAGGTCTCCTGCGTCCACACTCACCCACCTTGTCTGTCTCAAGGGCCGCAAGGCGTGCCTGGCGTTGGCAAAGACGGCCAAGACGGGGCCCACGGCGAGCCCGGGCCGCCCGGAGACCCCGGCCTCCCCGGCGCTGTGGGTGCGCAGGGGACCCCCGGCATCTGTGACACCTCAGCCTGCCAAGGAGCCGTGATGGCCGGGGGCGGGGAGAAGTCCGGTCCCAGAAGCTCCTGAAGCACGATGCAGGCGTGAGCGTGACGCCCACCAAAGCGGCGGGCTCCTGGGGGGCGGTGGGGCTCGGCAGCACCCGGTGCCGCGGCAAGGACGCCACGCCGTGCTGCCGTCCAGCTTGGCCTCGCTGGCCCGCCCCCGGCCCCCACCCCCATCCTCAGCGGCAGCACCTGGACACCTATGCCAGAGGGTCCTTCCCCAGGTGCCGGAAAGGTGGTCTCCTCGTGTGTTCACTGCGGCCCAGCCTATGGGGACCTCGAACCTCGGACAGGGGTGCCTCGCGGCCACACCGGGAGGGCCTGGGCGCACACCCAGCACGCACACCCAGTGCGCACCAGGGCCGGAGAGAAAGCTCAGCGTCACACGGCGCGGGTGCAACACCAGGTGCGGCCCCAGTGAAATGACAACATGGGCCCCAGAGTCACGGCCACCCACCTGGCAACAACGGGGGTAAAGGGCTCCCACCGGGCCGCGCCCTCCACGCCACGGCCGCCCGCCGTCCCCGACCAGCAGCGTCCGTGGGAGCCGACTGTGCCACACCAGCCCTGCCGGTGTCCTCCGCTGTCCTGAATAAAGCCACTCGCTTGAAAACGCGGTTCTGAACACTATAGTTTATTACACGGAAAATAACGTCCCTCAGCGGGAGACGAGGTCGGCGGAGCGACCCTGCCCCGAAGCCATCTCTTCTACGGATGAGAGGGGCCCGAGGGCGTGCGGGGGACCCCCGGCCGGGGGGGGGGGGGCAACGTGGTTGTGCCCTCAGTGTGGTCGCGCGGCCGGGGGTGGTCACAAGGGGAGGCGATAAACAAATGAAATAAATTTCCAACTACTTCTAGTGAAGAACATTTTGACTTGTTCCAATTGCTAAGGGGGCGTATTTAAATGTCAATAAAATAAGTAAAAAGCGGTGTGCCTGGTAAGACTGAAGGAATTACAGAGGATGTTAATTCTTTAAGTTATCATGTCACGAAAACATGATGGAATCAGACAGATAATTGAAACAGTGCTTACTAATGGTCTCGGTGTCTTCGCCCCGCCGCAGGGCCTAAGAGGACTCTGGCGGACAGGTATATTCTGTTTCGGGTAAGTGTTTGTACAGAACGTGCTTTCGGAGTCCCCCCTGCAGCCCCCGGAGTTGCGTCCCCGGAGGTGGCGGTCGGCGTGAGCCCCGGGGCGGCGGTCGTGCGGGGCCGGGAGGGCCGCGTGCTTCCCAGGAACCGGCGTCCCCGCAGTCACTTGATCTCCATGGCGGGGCTGCTCTGCAGACTCTCCTGCGCGGGGCAGGCCGCCAGGGGGTCCGGTCGGGTCAGCTTCAGCCTCCGGCCGGTCTTCCCACAGAACACGCTCTCAAACTCCTGCGGGCGGGAGAAGGGCGCCGGCCCAGGCGTGAGCGGTGCCGCCCTCGCGCCTGGAAAGCCGGGGCTCAGCGCCCCGCCCCTCCCAAACACGCGGGGCGTCGGGGCGCCCCCCACACACTCGCGGCACAGCCTGTCCGGGGTCTGCCTGACCGTCTCTGTGCACAGTCACAGAGATGTGGGTCTCCACTTAGCTCGCCAACAACGGCTTCTCAGATGCCTGGCCAGACCGCACCGCTGTCCTCCGCTTCACCGGTTTTCCTTTTTAGCGAGAGAAACACTGACCGGTGGCCCTCTCACCGACGCATTCTGGGTCGGCTCTGCTGTGTCCCTTTTACCTGGGGACCGAACCCACCGCACTGGCCTACTGGGGTGACGCTCTGACCAGCTGACCTGCCCGACCAGGGCAGACTTTGCCTTTTAAGACAACGAAACAGAAGTCAGAAGCAAAGAACCATTTCTCAGACAGAAGGAAGCAGGAGCAGAGGTTTTCCGAGCCATCCTCACACGCGGGGCCAGCCCCGGGGCTGCCCGAACTCCCGGCACCTCGCCGGACGGCTGGGCTTTTGCCCGCCTGCCCCCACTCGGCCCTGGGGACCAAGGCCCGCGGAGCTGGGGGCACCCCGACACGTCAAGGCAGGGGCCTGCCCAACCCTCCTCGGCTGAGCTGATGGTCAGCTGGTCATTCTCACTCGCTTCTCCCCCCTAGCATCTGTTCCCACAAAACATCAGGGAAAAGGCTGAGTTTTAAGGGGTTTTCACAATTTTTCAAAACACCCTCCCTCTCTTCCTTCCCCCCTTCCCTTCTCTCCAAAAGCACTGGAAAATACACCCTCAGGCGAGAATAAAGATAAGATGGTAGGATGAGGTGAGGTGAGATGAGGTAAGGTGGAATCATCTTGGGGACACAAGGATATCGGACAGCATCAGAGAGCCACAGCCCGCCTGGGCAGGCCTGGCCGTGGCCGTGCCGACGGGGGACCTCAGGGCGCACAGGCAGCTGGGTGAGGCCGGGGACGTGCACTGGGGGCGGGGCCGGGCGCTCCTCAGAGCGAGGACCCGGCGCCAGGCACCGACTCGCCAGCAAGGACCCGCAGCCTGCCGCCAGCCACACCTGGTGCAGAACACCTGAGCCAGCTCAGGCCCCGCCCCCACTGTTCCTCCCTGCCCTCGGGGGTCGGGGGTGCTTCAGCCAGAAGCCCCAGCGCCCCCCAACCCCCTCCAGCACCCTACATCCCCGAGAGCACGGCCCCCCGGCAGCACCCCGCAGTCTAGGCACTCGGCTCTGCGGCCCCAGCCAGGGGCCTCGCCGTCACTCCGGCTCCAACCTGTCCTTCCCGGAGCCCCGGCCCCCCACACAGCAAGGCGCCCACCAGACCACCCAGACTGGGCCGCTCCGGCCTCACCCTCAGGGCCCTGGACGCCCGGCCTCAGCCGCCCGCTACCGCAGGGCCGCCGGCCACGTCGCCTCCTTGAGACACCGGGGCAGCTGCCTGCAAGCCAGTGGAGTCTCTGCCCCGTCCAAAGGGTTGGGTTGGCCAAAAAGTCCGTTTAGTTTTTTCAGCAAAATGCGAGACATCTTTCATTCTCACTGGGAACTACTGGTCTGCGTGTGCGGAGCGAGCTGGCCCTCTCCCGCGGGGCAGGACGCTGCTGATGCTCCTGACCACTGTCCCGCGGGACCGCTGCCACCTGCAGCCGGTCCGTGCACCCGCCCAGCACCGTCCGGCGGGAAACTCCGCACACCACCCCCGACACGTCCGCTCTGTCGCAGCGCCTTCTCCCCGCACCGCACCAGGCTTTTTGCATTTCAGTTGCGTTTTTACCTTTCTTCAAATGATAAAACATAACATGCTGAAAATGTCACTTATTTTTTCCCAACTTCAACATTAAATGGTTACAGCGCTAGCTGGTGAAGCTCAGTGGTTTGAGCACCAGCCTGCAAACCAAGAGGTCATTGGTTCGATTCCCGGTCAGGGCACGTGCCCGGCGTGGCCGCACGGAAGCCTGGCCGGAGCGGGCACCTGGCCGGAGCGGGCAAGGCCTGTGGAACACAGCGTACAGTAAAGTAACCCGGGAAAGCTGCTTCCGTCCCACGGGTCGTACTTGGAGAACAAGAACATTCGGGCGAGTGTGGGGGGGTCACCGAGAAAGCACGGAGCCCGTGTGCGTGGGGGCCGACTTCCGGACCCCCAAGGCGAACTGACCTCGCTGCAGCCGCCTCTGGGTGGGTCGCAGGCCAGCACAGGGGCAGTGCAAGGTCAGTGGGAGCGGGTTTCAGAGACATTCAGGAAGAGTGACATCCCTAAGACAGAGCATCCGGAAGCTACCGATCTACTTCATCTTAGTGTGGGGGGCACACTATATACATGTATGTACACACACACACACACACACAGGTGAGGTTTTGCTGTAACACCCTCCTTGTACTTGAATGAATTCTGTCCACAATTTCCTAACAGGCACACAAGGCAAACATTGAATCACTCGCAGAACGCAGCAGCCGTTTCACAGAGGTGACCAGCCCACCGGTGACGAGGGGCGGTGGGGAGTGACTACGCGCGGACACAGTGGCCGTGCGTGGGAGGAAGCCGGGCCTGCGTGCTGCCCGGGACGCAAGGACACGACGAAAACCACGCGACAGACGGAGGGCGCGGCCGCTCCGCCCACAGCCCGGCCGAGGGCCCGGCAGGCGGACACCGCAGGCGCCGTGGGAAACGGCTCTGCCCTCCGACCCCACAACAGCCCACAGGAGCCCGGCCCCGAGGCAGCATCAGCCGCCACCCCGGCCGCCTGCTCTGCGGCCAGCGCCCCAGCCGCGGTCCCCAGCACCACCTCCGCTCTGTCCTCTGAGATGCTGGGGCCGGGGGTGGGGGGACGGACAAGGACGGACAGCAGGACCCACAACGCACACGCGGCCCAACGGCAGCCAGGCCGCGCTCCCGCTGGCCGCACCACGGAGCCGAGGCGCTCGGGCCCCGGGGCCTGAGCCCACGCAAGAGTCTCTCTCCTGCCTCCTGAACTCCAGACCATCTACTGGACATTTATCTGCCTTTTTTTTTTTTGGCGGGAGGGGAGGGCGGTTTCTATTCTCGCTTCATCCCCTTGGGTTTCCTGAGGGCAAAACCACAGACATCTCCCCTCCGGGTCCCTGAAGCCCCGCGTGCCCAGCGCCACCCCCGGCGCCCGACCTGGCACGGCCCCTCACCCGAGTCACGGCCACTCTGCCGCCAAGCGAACATGTCCAGGCTGTGGCCCCCGCGCTCACCGGCGACAAGTCCTGCCGCGAGTGTGCAGGGCCGCGCTCACACCGGGCTCTGCGACGTCGGGTTCCGGGACCCGCAGGCCGGTTCGGGGTCCTCGGGAAGAGGACTCAGGCCCCCGGAGAGCGGCCCACCGGGGCCCCGGCCCGCAGACGCACCTTCTTCAGGGAGTCCCCGTGCCGCTCCTGGATGTACTTCAGGAAGGCGGTGGTCCACTGCAGGGTCGTGGCCTTGTCCGTCTCGGCGTTGCAGAACGGGACCAGGAGGTTCAGCTCGTCACAGCAGATGCGGATCCTGCGCCTGCGGCAGCCAAACCCGGGGTGACCACAGAGAGGACGGGCAGCCCTCCAAGGGCCGGCGCTCAGGGGCCTGGCACCCAGGGCGCCAGAGAGCCCGCCGCCCTCTCGGGACCGAGAGCGCACGACTGTCCTCGGCCGGGCGCCTTCCCTGGAGGCCCCCGCTGCCTCGGGCACCCTCCCCGGGGGCCTCCCCGTCTGCTTCTGGGGGCCGAGGGCGGTGTCCAGACCACGGACGGAGCCCGGCCCCTGGAGTCGCATGTGGTTGTCCTGGGCAGCTCACTCTCTTGCTCAAGGTCACAGCCGGCTGCCTGCGCGCCCAGGACTCAGGCTCCCAGCTTTGCTTCTCCAGGGGCCTGACTCAGAGAGGAAGCCCAGGCAACTTCAGAGACGATGTGAGTCACAGCCGGAGTGACCACCGGGCCATTTGTAACTTTCACACGTGCGCGTAGTGACCAGCAGAGTCCAACCGAAGCCGACACCTGAGCATCTCAACACGGCCCCAGCGTGCAGACTGGAGACTGCAGCCGGCATTTCCCGGGGCCCGCCGCGGCCTGCGCTGCGCGGGGGACAGCATCTCCGTCTGGCAGACAGAGGCTCAAGACGAGGCGGGA